AGCTTCTCAACGTTCTTGGTTCCCGAGCTAGCGATTTTCTCGCCAGGAACCCTCATGGGGCTGTACGCGGAAATCACGCGCACTTGGGGGCTGAATTTAAAATCTTTGAATTCTATATGAATAGGGAACACAATCCCAAAATTTCAGCTTCCTAGCTTTTCTGGTTTCCAAGTTAGCGATTTTCCCGCCAAAACTTTGAGACTCTCGTACGCGGGGTCTAGACGTGCTTGAGGATTGAAATCGCGGTTTGGGGTGGCATTTGGCCGGGGAATCCATTCGCGAAATTTTGGCGCCGGAGCTTGCTTGGGTGCCGAGTTGAAATACCCGGACAGACGCGCACACACACACGCACACATACACACCCACACACACACACACATACATACACACACACCGGGGTCGTCACAATATGTGTTTCTGCATATATGCAAAAACGCATAACTTGAATCATCCTTCTATGAAGTTCCAGTCTAACATCGGGAAGCGACGTTCCCACTGGAGATCGAATCTCCGACAGGAATCCGACTCTCCATTCCCAAACCACCTTTCCCCCCGCCAACTTTCCCATCGTAGACTGAATCTACAACGGCCCAAAACCATCCCTGGCTCCCAAGGCATTAACTACGAAATCCTGGATTCGGAGATTGTAATGCTGATATCTGTTACAGGACCAATTGCTCCTTTCGCCTCATTCCTTTGTCTCACACAATAAATCCTCTCTTTTCGCTGCCTTAGCCCAGCATCTCAATTGGTTCCTTCCGTCCATCGACACATTTACACGCGATACCAAAGCAACTCTTTTTTAACTCAACGTATCTAATTACTGTGACAGCACTGCTACTAAAAATCGGTTTGGTCGCTCAGTATGAAACCGTTTTTAAGCTTGCGTGTGAGCGATGAAATTCGTAGTCATGCACAAGTATCGGAAAATTTGTTTAAATGAGATTTTAGGTGTTGCACACAAGTCGACTAATTTTACTTCAGCATCAAGTTTCTTGCTAACTATCATAAACCCATATACTCTTTCCCCCAACCCTCCGCAGTCCCCGCCCTAATTCCACTTCCTGCCTCCAATCAAGGCATCCCAACGAGAAATGGCAAAGGTTCTGACAGGGCAACTGCAACTTTAGCCGAAACCGTGAACAGCAGTCATCAAGGACCTTCGGAACTGCCCCGGAAAACCGAATTGTTAAAGTTGAGCAACTCGCTAGGATGGATGGTACATTTTGAAACGGCGCTGCAAAAATAAAAGTTCAATCCAGGTAGCGACGCATCAGGCCTGCCACCATGTGTTTCTGCATGGTTCCATCCTGTAGAGAAATTGCCTACACTACTGGGAAGTGAATATGGTGTTGCAATTTGAATATTTGATACGCCTATACGTACGGTCATGCCTAAGCCGAAACTCATCTTACGCTTGTTGGCCCGCACACAAACAGCAGATATTTTCAGAAAAATAATGCTCCCCGCTCAAACTGGTTATCGAATTGAGTGCCATCAGTGCCCGAAACTCAACTTTCATCCGCGCACCACGAAACCTAGGCGTGTTTTAAAGCTGAATTTGAAAAATTTGGGTTGCACATGGACGTAGAATATCCCCGCGAAATTCCAACTCGCTAGCTTGACTGGTTGGGGGAATCGCTTTTTGTTACAAATGTTCTTGACATATTCGAACACGCAAACCGACATGCACCAAAGCTAATTTTAAGCCTAGTGCTTGGTATGGGAAGCAAATATTCCCGTGAAGGTGGGGCGATTTAATCAGCTAGGTTTCCGAGTTGACCTTTTGCCAGCAATTTCGCAGTCTTAACTTTGAAGTGTCCGTACACGTTATGCAGGGGTGCGACAAAACTGAATTTGAAATCTTTAGCTCACATAAGGGTATAAAGCATCCCTATGAATTTCGCTTCCTATCCTGTCCGAAATTCTTTTCCCGCCAAATAATTTACATGTTTTCATTTCGGCATCCGCATGTAAGACTCAAATTACTGAATGGTAATATTAAAACGGGAGGGCTGCACATAGGCACATGCCCCAGAAGTTTCAGTTTCTGAGCTTATTCGGTTCATGAGTTTAAACTCGGCGACAAACTAATTATTTTCGAAATTCTTTTTATTTCTTTAAAATAAAATATTATGCTAATTATCTTTTTGTTGCTCTTTAGAGTCTTTTTTTCCCACTCTTATAACCCATTCCCATACCTCCACCTAATTTTGTATTTGGCTTTACGTGACAAAAGCTAGTACGCGTATTTCCCATACGCATAATTAACAGCTATACTGTATCCAACTGATACAGCTGAACACACACATGGTAGGGCGCCCCCTCTTAAAGGTAGCTCCTTTTCTCCCTATATAAACCTTTTCCCCCACCCGGATTCGGTTCTTAATCTGGCTACGGATCGACCATCATCTCGAATCTTCTGTATCGGTCCCAACCGCCTTAACTTCCACATCATCAGATCTTCGGCTCAGACGTATGGATCGTTTCGCACTCGAAAAAATACCTGTACCTATTCCTATGGTCCTCGACCAGGCCGTTTTCAATTGTATAGATATACAAATTTCTTTTTTTTGCTAGTATAATGAAAATCACGTTTCGAGCTTTTTATTGCCTAGTCATAACGACACTGTAATACCTCGCACCGCATACATCAAAAACATTTACTTAAGTGCTAGCACATACGCAGGAAACTCTGGTCAATATGCGTTTTTGTATCTGCATAAAAATGCAAAATCGCATAATTACTCGATCCAGTGCTGCTGTTGCCGTCGCTGCCAGCGGTGCTGCTTTTGCTGGTGCCACTGCTGCCAGCGTTGCTGCTGTTGCTGCTGCCACTGCTGCCAATGGCGCTGCTGTTGCTGTTGCTGCCAGTGGCACTGTTGTTGCTGTTGCTGCTGCCACTGCTGCTGCTGGTCCTGCTGTCGTTGTAGTGACGCAGCTCTACGATGCCCAGAACGTTGTCTTCTTTCCATCAGATGCTGCCGGCTACAATACACTCACAGGTGGTCTTCTGCAAAAGTCTATCAGCAGTCAGGGATGGGTAAGTCGTGTACGAAGGGAGAATGGTTTAAGCGGACTGGTACTCGACATGTGCCAAATGGATGTGTTCATGCATCCTCTAGCTAGCGGGCTTGCGACATTGCGAACGTGAGAGTGGGCCTTCTCAGCTGTACTGGCAACCACAACAGCACACGCAACCAAATTGCCTGCCCAAGCGGACGGCGCGGGGTCCCAGCACGACAAGAATAATTGGCCAACGTACGGGTTGCCCGCGCGAAGATGCGTTTTTTGCGTAGTTCCTCGTAGTTTTTGTCACTACCGGCACAGGTTTTCCCGGCAAATGCTTCTAGCTAAACAAATTAAGACTGGCCGCCAGGACTGTCAAGAAACACCCCCTTGAAATTCCAGCTTCCTAGCTTTCCTGGCTCCGGAGTTAGCCAGGAAAGCTAGGAAGCTGAAATTCACACGCAAAAAAATTGATGGGTTCGTACATAGGAACCGTGCACACCCGCGGGCTGGTTTGGGCTCATTAACATCTACGTGGACGGGGAACATTTCCTTAAAATTACAGTCCTCTAGCTTCTCAGGTTCCCGAGTTAGCAACTTACCCCCAAAAAACTTTCACGGTCCCGTACGTGGGTACCACGCATACCCGGGGATTGGTTTGAGGCTCATTAAGACTTACGTGGAGAGGGGACGTCCCCGTGAAATTTTAGCTTTCTAGCTTTTCTGATTCCCAGGTTAGCGACTTACTCGCTAAGAAATTTCACGGGCCCGTACGTGGGTACCACGCATACCCGAGAGCTGTGTTCGGACTCATTAATACCTACTTGAACGGGGAACATCCCATAAAAATTTCAGCCTTCTAGCTTTTCAGGTTCCCGAGTTAACAACTTACCCGGTGCCCGGAAAAAACTTTGGCGGGCCCGTACATAGGTACCACGAATACCCGGAGTCTGGTTTTAAGCGCAATGAGACGCAGACGGATGGGGAATGTGTTCTTAAAATTACAATCTCCTAGCTTTTCAAATCCTCGAGTTAGCAATTTATCTGGAAAAAATTTGGGCGGGCCCGTACGTGGGTACCACGCATGCCCGAAGTCTGGGTGTGAGCTCATTGAGACTTTCGTGGACGAGGAACACCCCCTAAAATTTCGGCTTTCTAGCTGGCTTTTCTGGTTCGCCAGTTAGCGGATTAGCCGCAGAAAACTTTCACTCGCCCGTATGTAGGTACCACGCGTGTAAGACCGCCCAGTTTGGGGATTGAGGCTAGTGCATGCATGTAGATTAAGTTCTCAAAGTTTCAGCCCTGTAGCTTTTGTAGGTCTCGAGATGAAAAATCGGTACAGAGGCCCTGCGCACAGACAAACACACACACAGACAACCTCCCGTCAATATGCATTTTCCGCATTGCATAGCTGCAAAAAACGCATAACAGATGAACAGTGCGAATGACGCTCACTTGGCCACTGTCCTCCACTTCTGCTTCATTCACTGCATAGCAATGCATCGAGTAGTTCTGCTGCAGAAGGCCGAGCCGAATTATGAATGAGGCGGGCCAGCAACTATATGAACGGGAACCGCTAATCAAGTCTCAAGCCGGACTTACAACACACAGAAAGAGTGCTCCGAGAGTGAACCGTCAGGGCAATTACTAAAACACGACTCGGCTCGGCTTGGCTAGCCCCGGCTCGCCTCAGCTCCACCTCGGCAGGCATCGGCTGCACCTCAGCCAGCCCCGACAGCGGCACGAGTTGTCGATTTAGGGGCAAACATGTGGTGGGGGAGCAGAACGGCGGAGAGAGAAAAAAGAGGGCGAGGGGGGGGGGGGGGGGGGGGGGGGGGGGGG